CCCCCCCCCCCCCCCCCCCGCTTGCCTATCAAGTGCAGGACTTGCTGCCACCTCTTGCCTGAAGGACTTCTGGGTCTGGTTTCAACTCTCTTCGATCCTATACTATTTTGGGGGCTCCTTATGACAACTACAGTATAATGGGCCCCAAAATTGGGGCCCTATCCCTTGCATTTCAAGTCTTGAGTCAAGCTGGTCCAAGTGGAACAGCGTGTCCGGCATCAGATTACTTCCCCTATATTTGACCTCTGACACCAGTGGCTGTGGTTCGGCTACCGTTCTGCAGCCTATCCCCGCAGACGAGTCGGATACTGTTTGAGATGCCACACCTTGAATTTTAAACTCCGATGCCACCTGCTCAATGAACATCCAATCCTCCAAGACAGGAGTTAAATGAACTCACTCGGCATGAGCGGCTCTTCTCCACTGCGCCGAGAGCAGCGCCAAATGTGATGATGTTTGTCTGCCTGGGTCAGAGAACGGGTGGAGCTGTTCAAGGAATCTGCTTTTTGCACGGAGCCATCGTGTGCCATCTGGACATGAAGTGCATCTTGGGCAAACTGCCGGTGTTACACGTCATCCTGGGACATGCGGTTTCTCCTCTGCTCTCTATACAGCTGCTGAAATGCCTGTGCAGCGTACACAATTCGAACATCGAAGCTTTCCTCGGCCACATCGTGCACCTGCTAGAACTTAGATCTACAAGTGAGGGGCAGTCGTGCCAACGGGATCTCCTCCAGCAAGCTGAGGGAAATCTGCCAGAGCTCGCCTGAGCACGAGTTCCACCGCCAAAGGAGACGCTCATGTGGGGGTTTCCGAAAATAGGGGACCCTAATATAGTACCCCCAAATAATAGGATCCTTATTATAAGGACCCCAAAATAAGGTACCCCTAATTTTCGGAACCTCCCATGCTCAGAACTGCTAAACCCGAGGTAGGCCGTGGCCGAAACGGAATCTTGGCTCAGTCTTCGTATGGGGCCACCACCCCGCGCGCACGCCGTGATGGCCGCGGTATACGAGACCTACCGGGCAAGAGACTCACCGAAACGTCAGTCGGATCATAGAGGTTGTCAAATCATCAGCAACAGCAATAGCCTGCAACTCACCATCCTATCCGCATCGCTGTCCTGCAACAGCAGCTGCTATCGACTCTCAATGTTTGTTCAGTGTGACCAAAGAAGGCGTGAGATGCAACCCCGAGCCCGACAATATATGCCCCTCAAAGGAATCCTTCAGAAACCCTGAGAGAAGCCCTTAAAAGAACCCTCAAAAGGTCTGCCATTTCGGGATGGAGAGCCCTGCTTGGAGGATCATGGGACTCAGTAACTAGGGTTATAAATAAGGTAACAAAAAATATAACCCAATTAGGGTACTTATAACCTTACTTACTAAGTCCCATGATCCTCCAAGTAGGGCACTCAGCCCCTAAGACAAAAAAGCGTCGATTCCAGTTGCAGGAATCTTCAACAAACCCTAAACCCTAAACCCTAAACCTCCTAAGTCCCCAGGATCCTCCAAGTGGGTCCCACGGCCTCCGTGGGCCGCAGCTCCGCTGCCCAAAGCGCGTGAAAAAGCCGGAGGGCTTCCTGCCAGCTGCTGCCTGGAATCGACGCTTTTTTTGTCTTAGACTGGAGTATCATGGGACTTAGTAAGTATAAGGTTTAGGGTTTAGGGTTTCAGGGTTTAGGATTTAGGTTTTTAGACGCCGCTTTGTTTTTGGTTTAAGGCTTTTAGGGTCTATAGGGTTTAGGGTTTTAGGGTTGAGGGTTTTAGGGTTTATAGGGTTTAGGGTTTTAGGGTTGAGGGTTTTAGGGTTTTAGGGTTTAGGGCTTTAGGGTTTTAGGGTTGCTGCCTGGAATCGCCGCCGCTTTGTTTTTGGTTTAAGGCTTTTAGGGTTTATAGGGTTTAGGCTTTTAGGGTTTATAGGGTTTAGGCTTTTAGGGTTTATAGGGTTTAGGGTTTTAGGGTTCAGGTTTTCTTTGTCTTAGGGGCTGAGTGCATTACTTGGAGGATCATGGGACTTAATAAGTAAGGTTATAGGTACCCTACTTGGGGTTATATTCATAGTTACCTTATTTATAACCCTAGTTACTAAGTCCCATGATCCTCCAAGTAGGGGCTGAGTACCCTAGACCAAAACAGGTTAACCTTTACATTATAGGGGGAGTATATAGGCCCTAAGAGGTTAGAAGGTACCTACTCGGCCCCTAAGTTGTTTTATGAGATTCCTGCAACTGACTCCAGACTCCAAGAGGTGTAGAGAAACCCATTGTTGATGGAACGTTACTAGACGGGCCTTAAGAATCACCTATATACTATTTTGGGGGGTCCTTATTGAAACTATACTATATATATATATATACCCTATCAATGCCCATCAACCCTGTTCTGATTATAAAAAGCCCCCACAGTAGCGGAGCGGAGGGCCCTTAAGAGAGAATCCATCATCTGCCTTTCGCGTGGGAGCTGATGGCAGCATTGAAGGCGACGACATCCATGCCTTAAAGGCATGTGGGTCGTTCTCTAAATTAGGATCCCTTTTAGGGTCCTTTTTATAAGGGTGCCGTACTATATTGGGGATCCAAAAAGGGACCCTAGTTTAGAGAACTACCCATGTGCAGAAAGAGGCATGAGGCCACAAGACTCAGCCGTCGAGACTCCAGCGCATGCATCTTCTTTTGGCTTCCCGGGTTTCGACTTGGACGGGAGAGCATGACCCCTGCGAATGCGATGGCAACTTTGTATCCGAAAAGCCATAATATATCTCTCACAGCTGCGGATGCGAAATCGCACGAGGATTCACACATTGGCCAGCTGTGTGGGCTCCTTAGCTGCTGCAAGATCTCGAAATCGTATCGGCCTGCGAAAGATAGTCATGCATCAGTACTTGGAGGATCATGGGACTCAGTAAGTAAGGTTATAAGTACCCTAAATGGGGTTATAATTATAGTTACCTTATTTATAACCCTAGCTACTAAGTCCCATGATCCTCCAAGTAGAGCGTTGCTTCAAAGCAGAACCTGCGCAAGTAGACAGGACGCCAGCAATCTCAAATGCACACGGCCCCTCGCTTTCTGAACTCTGCTCGAGGCCTGGCTTAGTCTTCGGGTTCCCCCCCTAGGGCTTAGGGTTTGGGGTTATAAATAGGGTAACTAGAATTATAACCCCAACTAGGGTACTTATAACCTTACTTACTAAGTCCTATGATCCTCCACGTGGTGCGAGACTGGGCGCGCAGGGAGAGCCGCAAAGCAGAGGCCGCAGCCAGGCCAGGACGGGACGGCGCCGCAGAGGCCGGGAGGCCGCAGAGGGGCGGGTTGACCCAGAGACTCCAATATCCCTTAATTAAGGAATATACCCTTAAATTATAGTAGGATCCCTAATATGATTTAAGGCATATTCCTTAGTTAAGGGGTATTGGAGTCTCTGAGGATACCCGACGACACGGAGAAAGCGACTACCCAGAGAGCCCAAGACCCCTTAATTAAGGAATATGCTTTAAATCATAATTTTAGGGCCCCTATAGTTTAAGGTATATTCCTTATTTAAGGGGTATTGGGCTCTCTGGGTACGACTATTTCAGCGCCTCCATGGGGTCTATAAGGGTCCTGCACGGGGTTCATTGCCGATGCTAGTCAAGTATAGGTGCTTGACGGCTTGCACGCTGCTCTGACTGATACAGATGCATGAAGCCAGTCAGCCGAGACAGCTGCGAGCGCAAACATGCATGTAAGCCTCCCGAGCTTCGCGGGACCTCAATGAACATCAAACTCTCAACTGCCGAAGTCATCAGAATCACTGACCACCTCCTGCAACTCGCACTAGCAGCTCCGACTGAAGTAGCAAGCAGCAAGACTTCTGTCTCGAGGAATACGACGAAGACGGTAAACGACACAGATGGTTGCTGGTGCTGTGTACGGTGAGGGACAGTGGAACAGGGCTGGGCTTGGTGTGGTGAAACTCGCATGTCCAGGAACTCTGAGAAGCACAGCGCTTTGAAGGAAGATGCTGCATTCTTTAGAAGGCTAGAAGTATGGGCCTCTAATATGGACCCTTAGGCCTTTCTAGGGACCCTTAAGCCTTAATTAGGGGTACATATAGGGTATATCGTAGATGTAGAAGGATCCCACGGTTGAGGGCCCATACTAGGGGCCCAAAGTTTCAACCTTAGAGTCTTTGACAAAGCATGATGTGTTGAGGGCGCGGCCAGCTAGGTATGTCGTCATGGACACTTTCGACGCTAACTACAACCCGATCTCTCCCAGTCTCCTCAACCTCACCCTAAACCCTAAACCCTAAACCCTAAACCCCTCAACCCTAGGCCATGCAGAACTCCGGATGAGTGAGCTTCTTCCCAGAGAGCCCAATACCACTTAATTAAGGAATATGCCTTAAATCATAATATTAAGGCCCCTATAATTTAAGGTCTATTCCTTATTTAAGTAAGGAGTATTGGGCTCTCTGGGTTCCTCCCACTGGAAATTAGAGACTCAAGGCGCGCGCGCGCGCGCGCGCTGCAAAACACTCTGAATGTTTCTCTTAGCAGCAATTTTTTGTGCTGTATAGCTTAGGACAAGCAGGCTCCCTTGTGATGGTGGTATGCAAGTTTATATGATTACTTCGTCGTGTGTACCGATGATGGCTTCTCTACAGCTTTGCAAC